TATAGTTTTTATGAAGTTAACTAAGCTACTCGTAGGTTCAAAACACATTCAAAGCCATGACATTAAGACCAAATTGTATAGAATTTGACAGGTTGTTTAATGTTTCTTATAGACCAGGTTACTACGATGTTCAAATTCTGATCAGCAATTTATCTTTTTTGATAATAAGTAGACAAGTGGAAATGATCTTTTCACAAGATGTCGTTTTATTAGACTTCCATATTAATCATAGCAAAGTTAAAATTCCGGGTCTCATAGTTCGTAACATATAGTGGCATTTTTATATACTAGAACGTTTTTGTTATTTTACCCTTTTTTATTACTCATGCATATGTAAATAATATTGATACCTTGTATAATGTATTGGACGTTAAATTTGTAATAAACAACAACAAACTCAGAACTCGACCAGGGAAGTTAAAAATTTGATGTTTTGTTTTGGGGAATTAATGACCAATTGAATGTTGTTAAATTAAGCCACCCTATATACATTCTGTTAAGGTCACACCCAAAGCCCAGCTTAGGCATGGGCCTGAGGCCCCAGGCCCCGCGTTTCGTGGCAAAAATAAAAAAACAAATTCAAATTCCATATGAAAGTTTCACGGTAATCGATCTAGCGGCGTGACGGCGGAGACTGAGCTATCCCTTAACCTTCTCTGTGAAGTTCCACTTAATCCGGTGATTTCACTTGTTATAACAGTTGCCCGCCGTTACATGTCATTTCCGCGCATTGTCTGCCATTCAGAACTGAATAGATTTTGTATGTGATCAGATAGTATTATGTAATTATTCTTGTATTACAGACCGTTTAATTGTTTGTTACACATGCGTGCCATTCAAAAGGATATGAAATAATCTTTTCTTCGCGTTAGGGGCCTAACGATTCTAGTTAGGTCTAGGGCCCCGCTCCGATTAAGCTGGACTTTGGGCACACCATAAAAATAAAGCCACTATATTCAATGCAACTAAATTTATAATATTCGAAAAACTGCTGTGGTTGAATTAAATCGGTTGTTGTCATTGTAAGCAACTAATTTCTATAATGCATTTTATCAACCCTAGCACCAAATGTACCGATTTTACTCGAGAAGCTCTTTACATCTATAAACCGCTATATTAGGAGACACAGTAGAAGAGCTGGTCAGATATTACGGACTATATTTTATTCAGACATTTACCGTTATTATTAGCCTCTAACCTAACCATTATATAGCGTTGTTGAACATAGAGTGTTATACCGATAGATCTCGTGTACACCGTGGTAAAGAGATCTGCTGGACATGCTTACAAACGATAATTATATAAAAGGAAAAACACATGTTTTATGAGAGGCGTATGTACTAATGGTAGCTGTGATATTCCAGTTAGCAATTTAAGAGACGTTTAAGATCCCATATATATATATACATGTATATCATAACATTAAAGGAAAGAAATTAATTAAGGGTTGTCATGCAGCAGCGTTCTCTGAACGGATAAGTGGTACCAAATGTTATATAAAGAGTATACTTATCACCTCGTTCTAGCTAACAAATGAAATTAAGTAACATACCATACACAGGTTGATATTCAAAAGCAATGGTGATATTTCTGTTTAGATTTAAGCACTAAATGGACCTTTTCTGTTTCGACTGAAGCATGAAATGGACATTTTATGTTTCGATTTGAGCACGAAATCCACTTTTTCGGACATGATTTAAGTACAGTCGCCTATATATTTTAACTTACAGTTCCTCTACTATTGCAAACTGCATTGAAATGAACTATACATTTCCGAAAAACTTAAACCATGTCCCATTGCATTATGTATAAAATTTATAGATTTAACAGCTGTGAGTGCAAAGTATCTAATTCTACAGCATCTTCTGTCTACAGAACGAACACAAGCTGAACATCAATAAGAAAGAAAAGAAAAAAAAGAAGAATTGTTTAATTTAAAAAAAGGTATATCAAGAAGACTTTCATGCCCCCCCCCCCACCTTTTTTTAGGCATAAATACACATATCATGGTTAAAATCTTTCATATCTATTCAAACTAGATTTCCACATGAAACTCGTCACGTAATGCTTCCCTATTACCTCCTAGACAACGATATAAATTGAAAGAAATCTCTTTTATAAATACATCTATCTTTGTATACGAGCTTTCATCCCAGTTTAATTAATATTTATTTCTTTTTGCCATTTTAAAATGAATAGAGCTGTTATTACATGAGTAGCGTCATTTAAATATTATATCATATATTTCGTATGCTTGTCAGTTAAGATAGACATCGCGGTAAGAGTTTACAAAGGCTCTTTAAGAGATTTATGTTCAACAACAAAAATATGGTATTGAAAAAGAACGTCTAAATTTTAAACGAAAATAAAAGTTTACATAATCCATAAACATCCCGGCTTCTGTTCAATTCAAATTCGCTTTCTTCTATTGTATAGTCCATATTTGATATTTTTACCCGACTACATCTGACAAGCCTTTTCAATGTTTTGTAATATTACTTGTGTACTTTAAATAGCCAATGAGAACGCAGGCGTCGGTATATATGTTAGATCTTATTTGATGTAGGAAAAACATAACCATACTGTCGAAATGACGAAACGAAATTAAAATAGAATAATAATTACATTGTGTTGTCGTGGTTATCCTTTATAGTGCACGTTTTAGTTTTGATCTAATGACTCCCACGTGACAATTCACAAGCCAGAATCCGCAGTTGGATAATTTAAGAATTGTATCTTATTTGAAATATATTTTGTACCGTGTTTATCAGATAACAGTATATTTCTATCAGACATAATATGTCTACCGCCTCCTCGTCATATGCTTTAAAGGGACAATAACACTCTTACTGGCTTGACAGCTCCAGAAAATAAAAAATAGCCTTATTCTAAGTACTAGATGTGTTAGTGTCTTATCTGTTGTGTAAATTATCCATCAAATCCTATTTTACTTGTCGAGAGGGTTCAAAAATATTTTTAAATCCAAGTCACATTTGAAAAGTTTTATGTCAGGCTTTTCAAATCATTTAGTTGAATTTTTCCAATTTTTTTTTAAATTGTTAAGATGAAATTTGTATCATCAATTAATTGGAGTATTGTAAAATTGTACAATTTGTTGGCCAGAATAAAGATTGAGACATATTATTCAGTTACGACAAGAGTGGTATTGAGCCTTTAAACGGAAAGGTAACTCAAGATTAAACTCAATTCAAAGACCATTCGAAATCCTAAATTGGCTAATATTAATCGTTGGCTTTCTTGAAATACATTGCACATATTGGAACTAATATTCTGAGTTATATATAGCAACGGCTGCCTTTATTGACTTACATATAAAATAATAAATCAATCACTCAATAATTCAATCGATAATAATAATAATAAACTGACAAATGATTATTCGCGCCATTTATATTGTCATAAGTCTGCCTTGAGGGGCTTTAGCCAGAAGTAGGTTGCGGTACCTTTAAGGCATTTAGGACACTACTATTATATTACAGTATAAAAGTCACACTGGTCCGCACCTAAATGAAATATTTAATCAACTACTATCAAGGAACAAGGAAGGACCTGTTATCAATTCTAGAAAGTTCCTTAGTTACATTAAACTAAAACCTTCCTTAATTCGAATTCTGTAAATATCTGTGGAGTGGGTGATATCAACAACACCTAATCTCTATATCATCATCACGAAACATTCTCATATTATTACATGGTCTATTTATAAATAATGTCACGAAATGGAAGTTAAAAATGTAAAGGACGAAAGATAGGAAAATTAGTATTAAACGGTTTTACAACAGGTGGTATTAAATCTTTTTATTTGGCTATAATCCGTTGCATTGTATTGTATTTTCATCATTTGAATGACAAACTATTAACTATGAAAATTTGTTCTCTTAATTTAGAGATCAAAAATTTCCATTTAAACATCCCCAACATAACATAACACAATATATCAACCCGACTTTATGTCAGATACAGTCTTTCAAATTATCTAGAAAATAAAAGCATATCTGCTTGTGAGTCATTAAAGAGCCAAAATTACAACTTTTAACAAGACAATAAATATAACAAGGTGACTTGCCCTTGCACAAAACCTACGTCAAATTTGTTTCCGTGGAAACAGTCAAATTATTCAACTGAGAAATGTCCAATTAGCAAAGGCTGGTGAGTTTCCAAAGTTTTGTAAAGTTATCTGGAAACAAAACCGGATTGAGAGACAGACAGACGAAGGGAGTCCATTTCAAGAACCTCGCCCCTCCACCACCCCTTTTCGTATAATGCTATATTTAAAATAACCTAGATAATGGTCTACATATTTCCAAGCAGTGTTCACGAGCTTCTGCGGAGGAAGTTTTGGCAACCCAAAAAGTTATAATGCTTACAACTGGTACGGAATCTTAAAACGCCCATATCTTAACAATGGGCTGGCAAATCCGTCTCGCACTCAGCATGTAGATTAGTTGCAACGTCCCCTCCTCTTAACCAATATGCAAATCAAGACAACCCTAAAATTATTTTTTTACCGGTGAATATTTCGAAGTTCTAATTCCCTTTAAGTAAGGAAATATCTATTATATTCTAGCACATCGCGGTTTTAATGGGTTATATATTCGTTTGTAAACTCAGGGAGAAATGTTTTGTATAAAAGCTATTGGAATCTATATAACCCTTCTATAATCGGGGTTTTGTAAACCCAGGGAGGAATGTCTTGTACAAATGCTATTTGAACCTGTATATTCCCCTTAAAGTAAGGAAATGTCTATAAACCTTCTGGCACATCAGGGTTTTGTAAACCCAGGGAGGACTGTTTTGTATAAAATCTATTTGAATCTGTACATTCCCCTTTAAATAAGGTAAAGTACATAACCCTTCAAGCACACCGGTGATTTAATGGATTATATATTTGCTTGTAAACTCATAGAGGAATGTAATGTGCAAAAGCTATTTGTATCTGCATATGGTACAAAGATTTTTAAATAAGAAAACAGACTTACCAATTCCATGGCTGGCTGTAAATAATTAATTTAAAAATCCCTTGAATGAACGTTAATTATTCTCGTCTTTAATTACGGTCTTTAATTAAACAATGTGTTTAATTATCTACAACCACAAGAAAATACTATTGAATACTTCTGCACAACTCTAGTCTCAGTACTTAATCACTTGGCTGATGCCTGCTTATAGTCCAATCGAGAAATGTTCACGCTTTTCACAATCTATTTGTTTATATACGACTTTGTTTCAGTTTATTTCCAGCCCAATTTTATTTCCATTTCTGATTTTGTTTCGTTTTATCACATGTTTCTTGAAGCAAGACACGTCCCAGATGTTTAGGCGGCCTCCTGGAATCCACTATTAAGTCTTATATATATATGTATAGATTTTTATTCTGCAACTTGCTGCGCTCTTTACGTTGACCGACGGCAAACCTGTCCTGAAATTAACAAGAATTACTTTTCAATATGTTCGATCCAATTTCACGTTTGTTAATAAACTCATTAATATTTTTCTTTCTTGTCTTATCTTACTATGAAATTCTTTCATCACAAATTTAGAAGGAGTCGGGATCATTGGCATGTACAATCACGATAAAGCAAAGGGCTACTTATGGCGCCATTAATCAGTATGTACACTGAAAGTATACATAAAATGAAATGAGATATACCGTCCTACTTTTCTCAGCCGACTGGGATAATGAAAACAGGCACATGGATTGTGCTATGAGGGGTAATTTTCCCGGGACAGCGGCGTTTCCGCTTACGCGTCATCGAACTTCAACCTTCGAAGACTCTTTTACGTGCACATAACGAGTACATAGGTGTACCCCCCCCCCCCCCTTTCTCATGTCACTCGAACGACTAGACGCTTATCCTGCGTATCCCGGCATCCCCTTGTTATCCAGCGCTCTAATCACTGAGTCACATGGTTTCCTAAAAGTAAAAAAGTGGAGGAGGATGCTTTAAACATTTTAGACATATTTTTTTTTTTTTTTTTAACTGTGAATTTAGCTTACAATAAATAAATCGGTTTTATGGTTTTTTATTTACTTTCCTAAAGACAAATTAAGATAAAATTTATCCACGCTCATCTCAGATGGGTCAGTTATTGATGTGCCCTGTGGATTCACACACGTGCAAGACATGTTTCCTCAATGCCAAGTGATAGCAATGGCGGCTCGCCTTCTGTTAGCAATACAAAATCAGCCAATTGCATTAATCTGCCTTGATTTGAACGGTAAATTCCGCCACCGCGCAAACTCTTATCATGGTAAACTGTTAAGTCAGCCAAAAGTGAACAAAAATAAATCCAGTGTATTCATGTGTTAGTCTAATATGTTTCATAAATAGCAAAATCAGACGCCCTTAGTTACGCCCCCCCCCCCAATCCCCACCACATACACACACAAATAGGGTTTCACTTTCTACTGTTCTGCTCCGACTGGGCTAATGAAGACGGGCATACACTTTGTTCGGAGAGAGACGTCATTTCGGGATTAGCACATTTTTATTTGCTTGCGTGCAGGGGTCTTTAGCAGTGCAAGGAAACCGGGAGACCTTGAGAAAACCCTCGAGGTTGGCAGACCTGTTTAACGTCCTACTGTTTTTTCGCCCCGACTAACAAAGAGAGAGAGAGAGAGAGAGAGAGATGGGTTTAACGTCCACTCGACACAAACTAGTTCATTTCGGGACTAACATTCAAATTTCAATTTTATTTCAATAATTCGCTTGTGCGTAGAGGTCTTTAGCAATAGGAGGAACTGGAGAAAACCCATGAGGTTGGACATGCGATCCTACTCCTTGTCACGTACAGCCGGGGAATCGAAATCACGCCAGTTGACACAATAACAGACCTTATGCTGCAGCACGCACAATATAATGATACAGAGGTGTAAAACAACTTTCCTTTTTAATAATAATAATAATAATAATAATAATAATAAAATATCGAAACTTAAATTAGTTTTAACTGCTTTAAGTTTCGATATTCTAAGAAAACAAAAACAATATTTTTTTTACTCGGTATTATACATAATCTCCAACGAGTTTGAATTTAATATTGGTAATTTTCATCAATATCGATGTTGTTATCTTACCGTGAATATGAGTTCCAATATTTAAGACACAATGAATATTTTAAAATCAGTCAACGACATTGTATTCAGTGTGGAAGTGAAATGTCAAACATTACACCCGAAGTAGACCTAACTAATCAAAAGCTAAAAATATTGAAACATCTAAACTGTAATGTTTAGATAATATATATATACTATACAACCCTAGGCAATAATCAGACACTAAATCAATTGTATATCAATTTTGAGAAAGTTATCTTCCTTTCCTGATTTAAACATTTCCTCTTCTAATAAAATTTGCTTTTAAAATGACTCACACTTTTAATCAATTACATATTGTAAGTCAATCTATCCGGTTTCGGGAAGTACTGATATCCGTATCCTCTAGAAATATTTCATATACACCCAAGCAGTGTCTTGTTGAAGTCGCTCTATCAGTATCCTGTCCAGTGTGAATACAGTAGTCTATAGATAGAAGATATTGTTACTGAAACCAGCAGGATCTTACTATTCATACAGAGTTACACCAGAAGATATGCTTGACTCAAATAATAATTGTAGTGTTTAGCTAAAGGGACACCCATTGATCTTTAAATACAACGTTATTAATCATGATTCACGCCATGCCGGGAGAGAGAGAGAGAGAGAGAGAGAGAGAGAGAGAGAGAGATCGGGTTTAACGTCCACTCGACACAAACTAACACATGGTTCAATTTTATTTCAATAATTCGCTTGCACGTAGAGGTCTTTAGCAGTGGGAGGAAACCCGAGGACCCGGAGAAAACCCACGAGGCTGGACAGGCAATCCTACGCCTTGTCACGTACAACCGGGAATTCGAAACGACGCCAGTTGACTCAATGACAGACCTTATGATACAGCGCGCACGTGCTAACCATTCGGCCATCCAACCCCCCATGCCGGGACAGAATCACTACATAAAGATGCGTTATGTAAGATTTAGATAAAGAGCTAGCCATTCTTGCTATAATAGTTCGAAATAGATAATGTAAAATGAATAATTTGAAAATTTCATTTAAATTACTCTATTACGAGCGAAGATATTAGCCTTTGAAGGTTTGACAAGACGTGTGCAATAATTTCAACCACCGTACTGGTTGTTCGAAGCTAAGTCTCGCTCCTCCATTTTTAAATTAAATCAAAATATGGCTGAACCGTTCTAATCCATTCAATATCGGAGAAATCCGATGCCATCGAGAGTTGATTATGGCCTGCATCAGTTAATTAATGTCTAATTAATAATTTAGAAAACATTTCTGGCTAAAAAAGAAAGACCTGCAATAGGCAGATTTAGCTTTTGCATAATGCATGTTTAACATTTGCAAACCTTTATCGTCTTATTTTTTAAAAGAAATTTTTGAATTATATAAGATCAGCAAGGTGTTTCTTGGCATAAAATAAAGTTATTCCATTATTTCATTATCAGTCTCATAAAAACATCTGAAAAACTTTATCGTGTTATTTAAAAACAAAACCTACCAAAACATAAATAATTATATTCGAGAATCAAGGATTTTCTGGCATAAAATAACAATATTTCATTATTATTTCATTAACAGCCTCATTGTCCCGTATTAATAACACTAACAGCCCCTTTAACAAAACACAGTCTCACAAAGACGGAAAAATATCAATATTCTTATTACCACGTCATTCCTCCCCTTTCTTCCTATGCTCGACTTCTTGATTTTATCAAATATCTTAAACACACATCCGTGTTGACTATTTGATAATCACGTGCTCAAACTGTTTAATAAATGTTAGATTATCTTGTATTTATACTTTCGACAGTTGCAAATTTGACCCAGTTTTCCATTTTTAGGTGCATATATTGTTGACTTAAATCTATTTTGATGATTTTCGGCCACCTCAATTTTAAAGTTAGTATTTTAAGTCATTAAATTTAGAAAACTTTAAATTCGCAACAATTCATGCTCTACCGAATAAACATTAACAGTGCAATCATAGAAATACACTGTCAGTTTTATCTTGATTTCAGAAAAAAGAGGTAACTGGGTAGCCTCGGGGCCAACTGGCAAAAACAGAATGACTATCCCAGTAGTTTAAAGCGAGAATTTCATATTTTCTAAGAAAGTCAAAACATAATTATTTCTATGTGTTTTGCTCAATAGGTTATCAACTCACTATTATACGATCATAGGTGTCATTCTCACACTTAAAACTCATTTACACTGGAAATAATAACACAATTACCTCCCAATTACCTCCCTTGTTTTCTATTCTCCACCATGGAGTAGCTTTTTTCAAACGTTTGAATTGGAAGAGGAAAATTATATTTTAGCCAATTTCTCAACCGGCAATAGTGAAGTATAGGATTAATAGGATTATTCTTTATCAAGGTAGGACTGTTTATGGATACCATCTATTTTAAGGCTTTATTTTAATAAATTTTAAAAATATAACTTAAAAATTTAATATTTCCGCTTTAAATAAAACAGTAGCACGATAAAACGTGTTAGTTATGTGAACTTCTCAAATGGAAAGTGATATCAGGTATTCCAGAAAGAGTAAACATACCCTACCTCATTATAGCCTTTAGTCAGCAAATCAGACAACTGCTAAATCGGACCGATTATCTGGCAAAGGATGGACAATGTAAACCTAACACAGCTTCTCAAGTGGGAAGTGCTATAGGGTGTTATAGAAAGAGTTAGCCTATTCCGCTCTTCGAATAAAACTTATACCCTTTTAACAGCAAATCTGACAACTGCTAACTCGGGCCGATTAAAGATACATTATGGGAGATTCGATAACGAGTTGGCAGTTCTCACTATAATAGTTAAAAACTAGATAATGTAAAGGCAGTTTGCTGAAAATTTCATTCAAATTGATACACTATGAACCGAGAACTAAGCGATTGAAATTTCCGTCTAGCCTCGATCATCATTACTAAAGTCAGTACGATAAACAGTATAGTCTCGATTATCCATGTAATTGTTAAATCGTGAAGGAAAGTCATGCAGTAAATCGGCTCATAATCCACTAAAGATCGCAGGCTAGCGATGTCATCTAGAGTTGATTATGGTCTGGATAGGTTAATTAATGACTAATTAATAATTAAGATAACATTTCAGGTCTAAAGAAAGACCTACAATTGACAGATTTAGCTCTTGCATAATGTATGTTTAACTGACAAACTTTGCCGTGTAAACTTTGCACAATTTCCAAGAGAGCTATCTCCCTGTTAACATGTGTATAAGAACAAAATAGGAAAAAAACATGCAATATAATGGTTATACATTCCTGCTACGTGGTAGGTAAACATCTTTAAAAGACATAGTTGTGTTTAAAAAGCAACTCGTTATTTTCGTTAATG